GGAGGCCAGTGCAGCTGGCCCAAGGCTGTAGGAAATGAGTATGTGGTGAGGTCATGGGCAGCACCAGGACCAGGTCACGCAGGACTTGGGCCACTGTAAGGTCTGGATTTTCCTCTGTGTGAGCTCATGGGTCCTTTTTGAGTCAAGGAAGGTGATGATTTTATTTGGTGTTCACTGAATGGATAACAGAATCTGAGGGCGAGTCTGGAATTCAGGGGCGAGGGCTGATCTGAAGATAAAAATTCCAGAGTCCCTTTTCCAGGCATGGAGCGTGCAGGAGGCCTTCAGCGCCATAGGACCGGGTGCACAGAGGAAATGAGTGTCGCTGGACAAGAAGATGATAAGTTTCTCTGTTACGCAGGAGGCAACATTAAGAGGAACCCAGAAGGGAAGTGGAAAGCGAGGCAGCTGGCATTCTGAAAGCCGAGTGAAGAAAGCTTGTCAGGCCCTGGCCGGTGTGGCTCCGTTGGTGGGGGCGTCGTCCTGTGCACCAAAAGGTTGCTGGTTCGATACCCGGTCACATGCCCGGCTTGTGGGCTTGATCCCCAGTAGGGGGCGTGCAGGCAGCAGCCCATTGATGTTTCTCCCTTCTCTCTCTAAAATCAATTAAAGACATTTTTAAAAATATATATTTTATTGATTTTTTACAGAGAGGAAGGGAGAGGGATAGAGAGTTAGAAGCATCGATGGGAGAGAAACGTCGATCAGCTGCCTCCTGCACATCTCTTACTGGGGATGTGCCGGCAACCAAGGTACATGCCCTTGACCGGAATCGAACCTGGGACCCTTCAGTCTGCAGGCCAACTGTCTATCCACTGAGCCAAACTGGTTAGGGCAAAGGCATATTTTTTAAAAAGAAAGCATGTCAAGTGGAAGGGGTTGGCACTGAGCACATACAGGTCACCCTCAGTGATGAGGGGGAGGGTGGCCTATGCGGGCACAGATGCAGCTGAGTGAGGGTCATGGGGGTGAGGACTTGGAGGGCTTTCTCGTCACTTCTGTTTTCGCAGTGAGAAGGTGAGGCTGGGAGAGGAGGAGCGGGAGTTCTGAGGAGAGAAGGTGTGAGTTGCCCTTTTTTTAAATATTTTTTTTTATTGATTGCAGAGGGGAAGGGAGAGGGAGAGAGAGATAGAAGCATCAATGCTGAGAGAGAATCATTGATCAGCTGCCTCCTGCACACCCCACACTGGGGATTGAGCCCGCAACCTGGGCATGTGCCCTTGGCCGGAATCGAACCTGGGACCCTTCAGTCTGCAGGCCGACGCTCTACCCACTGAGCCAAACCAGCTAGGGCTGAGTTGCCCTTCTTAGAGAGTAGACTGAGTGGACCAGGAAAAACTACGCACAGAGCCTAACAGTGTCCGCATGTAGTGGGTGCTCCTTAAGTATCTGAATGAGGAGTTGAGAGATCCCACGCTCACAACAACCCCGACACATACGGTGAATGGTCCTGTTTTCCTCGAGGGAACTGAGGCTCCGAGAAAGGAGGTTATCTCCTGTCTGGTTTCAAACAGCTGGGCCTGGCCAGCGTGGCTCAGTAGTTGAGCATGGACCTATGAACCAGGAGGTCACTGTTCAACTGGTTGCAGGCTCATTCCCCAGTGTGGGGCGTGCAGGAGGCAGCCGATCAATGATTCTCTCTCATCGTTGATGTTTATGGATCTCTCTCCTCCCTTCTTCTCTGAAATCAATAAAAAATGTATTTTTTTAAAAAGCTGGAGTCCTAGCTGGTTTGGCTCAGTGGGTAGAGTGTCTACCTTCGGACTGAAGGGTCCCCGGTTCGATTCCGGCCAAGGGCACATGCCCGGGTTTTGGGCTCGATCCCCAGTGTGGGGCGTGCAGGAGGCAGCCCATCAATGATTTCTCTCTCATCATTGACGTTTTTTTCTCTCTCTCTCTCCCTCTCCCTTCCTCTCTGAAGTCAATAAAAATATATATTTTTAAAAAGCTGGAAACCAAGGCTGAGCCAGAAGTCCCCAATTCTCAACCACCCAGCCCCCTTCATTGACAACAAAATGGGAGAGGTTCGGAAGAAAATAAATAAAAGTTTTTATTACAACCTAATCACACAGTACAAATGGAGATTAAATAACAGCAGGGAGAAGGTGGGGGCCCCTTCCCCCCATGCCCCTAAAAATCACACCCTGATCAATAAATACCCCCCCTCCCCCAGAGACCCAGAAGTCCCAGCCCCAGAACAGTCCAGGCTGAAGAATCTTGAGTTTACTCCCCCTCACTTCATAGAAGAGGGAAACTGAGGCCCAGAGAACTGCCCCCCAGCAAGTTCGTGGCTCCTGGGGCGCGGTAGGTGTCTCATCTCGCGTGCATCCCCGCTGGG